CAATTCCATAGAAAGCATTTTAATCAAACCTTGAAGAAGACACAGCTTTTGAGCGATCTATGTTTGAATTTTAGTGATTTTTTTATGCTATCGGTCAGGTTTGGGCCGACGCATCTCAGAATTTTATTAACGTTATTGGTAAAGTTTATGATTAAATGAACAAAATAAAAAAAATATCGAAAAATTAGGGGTGTAATATGTTTCCGGAAATTTAAGGTGGAGTTTTTGGATTTTCCCGGATATTACAAATGAAAATGGATTTAAATGGATTTAAATGGGTTTCGACTGGGGTTTCCTTTAACTGGATTACAATTAAATTTTGGCAGAAATTTGACTATGGTTTTGAATGGGTTTGAACTGGACTTGCACAGATTTTTACTGGATTTTAACTAAATTTTTAACGGGTTAAAAAAAATACAACATGTTCACTGGACATGAACAGAAATTTTGCCTAGGCCATCACCGGACTTCGCTAGATTCTGACTGAATTTTCACTGATTTAAGACTGAATTTCTATAACAGCTTTGGTAAATTATCATTCAAATGAACTGACGTGGTTGGTCAGGGCAACAATGAATCGAGTGATTTGCGTTGTACGAAAGTCGGGGAATCTCGAGTCGCTTTGAATCTCGAAGAGGGTAAGTTGTTTACATTGCTTTGGAATGTATGATCAGAAGAGCGAGGATAGACCCGAGGTGTACTATCTTCAGGAATGGTAAGGTAAGTATGACTGTATTTTGATAAGATTTTGACTCAATTTAGGCTGGATATTGATTGGTTCTTGAGTGTGTTTCTACACGACAATATGGATTTTATTTTAACTTGATTAAGATAAGATTTTAACACAATATAGATTAGTTTTTTTGAACAAGATTTTGATTGGGTTTTAACAAGATGTTAGCTGAGATTTTCACTAGAATTAAGACTTGTTTTTCACTCAATGTTCAAAAAGATTTATTCAAATTTTACAGGACTTGCTGGTTTGGTGTTTTGCTAAATTTTTTGCTGATTGAATATGGTTTGATTTTTGCTTTCAATTTAATTTTTGAAAACCATATTTGCTAAACTAACAATAAGTAGATTTTTACGTTTAGATTTAGAATTTAAAATTGGCCAGATTTTTACTAGTTTTTCACCAGATCATGTGACTTAATTGTGATTGATGTTTCACTAAGATCAAACGACTGGAGTTTTAATGCTTTTACTGTATTTACGCCGGATTTTCCCTGAATTTCAATCGGATTTACACTGTATTTTGACTGAAGTTAGGTTGGATTTTAACAGAATTTGGATTGGATTTTAACACAAAATGGATTAGACGTTGATTAGATTTTTGCTTGATTGTGTCATGATTTTGAGTAGATTTAGACTAGATTTGATTCTTATCAAGTTTTTAATTGATATTGACTTAATTTTAGTCAATACCAATATGCTTTTGATTGGGGTTTGGCTAAGTTTTTGAATAGGTTTCAATAGATTTCGACCAGATTTTGGACTGATATACATATTTAGTCTTTAGAGTTGTTTTTTACCAGATTCTGCCTGGATTTTAACTGGTTTATGATTTTATTTTGTATTCAAGTGGATTTAGACTAAATGTTGGCTAGGGTTTCGTGCGAGTTTTCCTTAATTTGTTGTTGATTTTGTTTGATTTATTTTAGTTTTTACTTTAACTTTAAGAATCATACATTTTTGCATTTTAATTTTCAATTTAAATCATATACGGTTAATCATATACAGACCATCGTGTTAAAGAATCATTGATCATAGAATAATAATTCCGTAGGAATTAATTAAAGAACTATCTTAGTAACCATTAGAAACATCCTTTGACTGAGCTTTCACTGCATTTTGGAGATTTTGACACAATTTTGAATGGATTTTGACTTTGTTTTGATAAAATGTTGACTAGTTTTTCATTTGACCTTTTGAATAGGTTATGAATAAACCTATCTGGATTACTACTAGATTTTCATTGACTTTTTATTGGATTTTGATTAATTTTCTTCCCACTTGCTTTGCACTGAATTTGAACAGATTTGTATCTGGATTATCACTTTTAAAAGCTGAATTTTTACTTATTTTAAATTGAATCTTCACTGAATTTTGAATAGATTTTGGAAAGAGTTACAGCTAATTTTGATTCAATTTAGGCTGCATTTTGACTGAATGTTAATTGGACTCCGACTCCGATATGGACCGCATTTGACTAGATTTAAACTAAATAACAATTGAATAGAAAATCAATTGAATTTTGACCAAATTTCCACTGGGTGTCGACTTGATGTTGACTAGTTATTCAATTAATCTTATCGCTGTTTTGTTGATAAAATAATAAATGAGTTTTACAAAGGTTTGACTGGATTTGACCTGGCTTTTATCAGATTTTCACTGATTTTTTTTTATTAGGACAGTTACAGGAAACCAATCGAAAGGATCATAGTAGAAGCCTGTAAAACTATTTTTTGACCATTGAATTGGTTTGTTGTGAATTTTGATTGAATTTCGACTGAGTTTTGACTAGAATCTGACTAGTTTATTATTAGATCTTTTGATAGGATTTTGATGAAATTGTAACTGAACGTTGGCTTAGGTTGGACTGGGATTTGATTCACTGATTTTTTAACACATTTTTACTGGATTTTCACTGAATTGTTACTGTAGTGTAATGAATTTTTGGCTGGATTTCCACTGGAGTTGAACACATTTTTGGTGGACTAACAATAAACACGGGATATTCAGTAACTTTTGATTATACTTAAGTAAAACTCAGTATACTTGGAATTTTAATTAATTTACGCACTTAGAAATGATTACCGACCTCGGTCATTTTTAGCGACCTTTCAACAGCTGAACTGTTCAGTAAAAATCAGACATAGTATAATCAGTTCTAAAGCATCAAAACAAGGAAAACTTCACCACAATGGCAAAACTCAATTACTTAAACAAGGGCAACAGTGTTTTTAAATTAAAATTTAGTGTAACAGCTTTTGTAATCAATGTCAAAAATTTACAAACCTTCACCTTTTAAAATTTTAGCTAAAATTTACCGGAGTCGGAAATAATTTCTAAGTGTGTAAGCTTGATTCTGATTGGATTTTCATACGATATGAGCAAGATTTTAACTGAGATTCAACTAAATTTTGACTATATTTTAACTGGACAGTCATCTGTCCCTTACTCGATCTCTCCATAACTCGATATTTTCTATAATTCGAATGAAATTCAGGCAACGTAGACCGCTTTTCTATACAAAACTCCAAAGTTTATTTCTGTAATTCAATATCGACCCTAACTCAATAGCCCATTAAATTTCCAGTTAGAGAAAGTTGACTGTATTGGGTTTTGATTGAGCTACGGATGAATTTTGAAATTATTTAGGATTAATTGACTGAGATTTTAATTTTGAATTTTGACATGTTTTTCGCTAGTTCTCTAGTTCACTAGTTTTGGATTTTGGCAGATTTTTGATTGGATTCTGCGGATTTAATTATAATTTGAATTAAATTAATATCCATTTTTAATATAATTTTTGGTGACCATTTTTTTAAAACCCGAAATACGTTTCTACGGTTTCTAAAGATTTAAACCATTGAATTTACTGATACTGATGATAGTTAATGAATAACCGGCTATAGAACAACAATTTCTTCGGAAATCAACCCCTCACTATCATAGTTTCCATGGAAAGCATCTGTTGACTGGAATTGTTCAAGATTTTGGCTGGAATTTAACGGCATTGCGCTGCGATATTTCATGAAGAAATTAAAATTGAAATGCCTACAAACACATCGTACGATTATTATATTCAGCTTGACAAGCCCTGCTGTCTGATAATAAAGAAGGGTTATTTATTAATAAAGTGAAGAGCTTGAAGAAGTTTTCATGAATGTCGATACTTGGGGTGTCTTCTCCACCGATATTAACTTGAAATCTTGGTCATTAGAGACCTGTCTATGAGTGCTTCCAAAAATCACCCAGCCGCAAAGCGCGATCCAGCACTAACACAGGAGCTTGATTGGGATTTTACATGAGTTTGACTGAATTTTTACTAGTTTCTCACTAGATTTAGACAGGACTCTAATTTTTATTGAATTTTCATTGAACTATGACTGGATTTAGCCTAAATTGGAGCTGGTTTTTTTCTGGATTATGATTCTGATACGATTTCAACTGGCATTTGACATGATTTTAATTTAATGTTGACTGCATTTTGACTGGATTTCGAATGAATGTCCACAGGATTTGGTTTGAATTGTGGCTGGATTTTAGTTTGTTTGAATTAATTTTTGTTTTCAATTCCATGTAGATTTCAAAATTAAATTGATTTCTCACATGCTGTGTCAAATCTTGAATTTCTAACCTACAGCTAGGAAGTTGATTTTTCTGGCAGCCAACCGACTTGAACTGGTAAGTACCTACTGGTGGTATGTGCAATCAATCAGATAATTAAAAGTGCGCTTTTTGAACGAAGCTTTCCGTGCAATTTACTAAGTTTCACATTCTCCTAAAGGTAGATTTCACTCAACTGTTTTCCGTATCTGTACACGCTAAAAACGAGTAACCCCTTTAATGATTGAAAAGTAACTCATCTTTTGAAAGCGTACACATATCCTCTTATAAAACCATCGACAGTCATGATTGTACTGCGGTTGTACTTCTTTTCGCTAGTACCTCAATCGAGGTACTAAATTAAAGGAATAAAGCGCAAGTGCAATCATGTCTATCGGTGGTGTAAGAGTAAAAATGGTTCTCAATGACATGGAATTGGGCACCTACGAGAAATCCGTTAGATTTATTTAAAAAATCCCTATTTTTGTCAGATTCTCAATTTTTAGACCAAAGCAAGGTTTCTCATTCAATCGAGTTTATGTTAAAAAATAATCGGTAGAAGCTACTTCAATCCTATATGTAAGTGTTAGTCTCAATGATTCAAAAAATACTAAACTAGACTTTCGGATAAATAAAAACAAAGAGTTTACAAATTTCTAAAAATAGTATTTTTCAAGAGTCAAATCAACGTTCAATTTCCAAACACGGATCCATCCTATTCGGGCTTGCATTCTGAAAAAAAGAGAAAACTTGTATTAGACAAAATTCAACACACTCCCACTCCCCGGGAAAACTCACTATCGGACGACTTCCAGCCGATGTAAGCACCGATCCGCTTGTTCTCCACCACCAGCCAATCATACAGCGGTTGGAAGTACTCCAGCAAGGCGTTGGCACTCATCTTGCGCTGTCCGGTCAGCACCTCCATCGCATCGGGCCACGGCTTGGACGATCCCATGGCCAGCATCTCCTTGATTGCATTGCCAGCATTCACACTCTGGTAGATATCACAGTTGTTCAGCGTCTTCTCCGGATCACCCTTGACGTACTCTCCGGCCAGCTCGCAAGCCGATCGGTGGAACTGGAACTGGACGATGTAGGAAACCAGGTAGCGCAGGTATTCAACATCGGACGACACGTGGTACTTGGCCGGGGCGTCAAAGTCCTTCTCGGTACGGACTACCGGGGGTTCAATACCGGAGAACTTGGTGCGCATTTCCCAGAACTTGCAGTTGTATTCGTGGGGTTGAATTTCGCCGCGGAAGATTCCCCAGCGGTACTTGTCGATGGTGTAGGCAAATGGCAGGAAGACCAACTTGGACAGGCCCGATCGGTAGAACTGGTTGACCTTGGCATCTTCGTCCAGGGTGAAGTCCTTGAGGAGACCGATGGTTTGCAAGTGCTTCGGAGTCGAAACGGACAGAGACAAAACATCGCCGACGGCTTCATGGAATCCGGGGTTGGCTCCCTCGCGGTACATGCTCGGTTGGTGTTGGTACTGGAGGAAGTACTGGATGTGTCCGAGTTCGTGGTGAACGGTGAAGAAGTCTTCCATGTTGACGCGGCTGCACTGCTTGATGCGGACATCGTCCGTGCGGTAGAAGTCCCAGGCACTAGCGTGGCAGACCAGCTCGCGACCGTCGGTTGGCTTCTCCAGGATGCTCTTCTGCCAGAAGGATCTGGAAAGGTTGCGGTGATTGGAGGTTTTTGGATTGGAGGAAATGTGACTTGGACTTACTCAGGCAGCTTGGTCATATTCAACGAAACGAAGAACTCATCACCCATCTCAAACATCTGAATCGGGTTGTAGCCCTGGCGGACCATCTCTTCGGTGACGTCCAGCTGACGGCTATCCGGGAAGGGAGTAGTGATGTCCGCTACGTTATCCCAGGTCTGAGCCCACATGTTACCCAACAGGTGCATCGGGATGGGTCCCTTCTCCGATACTACGTCCTCTCCGTAGCGTTCCCGAAGCCTGTGGCGAACGTAGGCATGGATCTGCTCGTACAGTGGGCGGATTTCTTCGATAGCAGCATCAACCTGTTCCTCAAAACTTTCATCCTCGTACGCATGCAACCAGGCTTCAGCTCCGGAGGTGAAGTCTGTAAATGGAACGTGGGTTAGAGGGAATTATGTGGAAAACTGCGTACTAGAATACTCAACTGTTCAACTCAGCAGCCTCCTTATTCAGTGACACGTACTTCTGGAAATCCTCTCGGGTTGGAGCTCCAGCAGCATTGTACCACTCGATCCAGTAGTGCTTCAGTTCCTCCGGGTCACGGCTTGTGGCAAGAATCTCGGTCAACTCCGGCTCCAACGAGAGATCACACTTCTCGCGGATCTTGTAATCACAAACCTTTGCCATGGCGTAGTTCTCCGACATGCCTGAAATGGCATCCAACAGCTGGGAGAACTTCTCCTCGGACAGTGCAGCGTAACCCAGGTCAGTCATCTTTTCGATCTTGCGCTTCAGGTCAGCATCCTTGAAACTCTTGTAGTCGAACTTTCGCAGTTCACGGGCGACCTCCTGCGAATTGAAAAATGAGAAATTAATTAGGCGCTAATGCAGTTTGTGCTTAATTAAGCCCCGAATGAACCTTCCAAAACCGAGCATTGTCTTCGGACACTTGCTCTGATCTTTGAGCAGTATAGTCATTGATATCGGATTCGTAATTCCAGGCAGCCTCGTTCTCATCACTCGTACGCTGCACTACCAACGGCTCCACCGAGTCTAGAAAGGCAGCCGCATTCAATTGCGCGTATCTCACATTCCACGGTGCCACAAATGCCGTATGGCAGAGTACCAATATCACTAGCAATAATCGATTCATCGCCTCCGAAGAAACAAAAAACCTAATCAATAATATCACAGCCTGAAGATCACATGCTCCTTTTTGGTGGGCTCACACGACCAAATCTCAACGATGACTGACGAATTCGACTGATCATCACGGCTACCTACAGTGCAATCTCCCACGGTGCGAAAACTTATTCAAACATAGCGGATTAGGGTAAATATTACAGACGGTGCTGTTTTGAAAGAGAGGGAGGCTCTTCTGTTTGGAATCGATGCAATCGAAAGCTGACTTCAAATAGCAAATAGATACTTGAATCGACCTCCCGGCTATCTTGTGGACAACTAATGACGAGGGGAAATTATGTGGTGACCAGCTTCCCCTTCAGATAGATGTTTTACCATCGCTCCAACGACTGGGATTGAACCCACACCTATGGTAGTTAAGCACATTCACTCATACCACACAACCACCAGTGCCGTCAAGCTATGGGAAAATGCTGATCATGAATGAGTTAACAACTTACTAATAGAACAAACAAAATTACATATCAACCGGCATGGTCCCGAGCTTAGAACAATCGCGTAGGAACCAAACGAGCATTGCTGAGTCGAGGTGAACCCCTAATCTGCATGCACCGGCAACCCACCCGCACTTAATTTGTAATTCGCTGCAGCCTCATGCATTAAGTCGTAAACATGAACACGCTCCTCACTTCGGATGAAGAACGATGACTTTCCGGGACGTCCGACCGTTGCACTATCGCACGGCGGTAAATCTTGGGAAAGATTTAGAGTTCCGCAAAAGTAATCACGCCGGAACGTGCCTTGGTAGCCCCAGAGCTTACGTGCACTCGGTTTGAATTATTAATTTGCGGGTTTTAAGATACGGATCAAAACTGTAGATATACCTACGTGATGACCACGACCACTTTCGGTTTGAGGTGAATCCAGTTTGATGGATGCAAGGTGAGATCCAGATAGTCGTCGTTATTTTAACTGAGCGATTGTGATATGCGACAGATGATTGAAAAAAAAATAGCCCACTCGAGAGGAGACAATTGCGATGTCGTAAACATCGATAAGATGGCTTATTTATTGTAAACAACAATCAAGAACAATTGGCTTTCATCGAAAATAGAACTATTTGGTCAATGTCTTTTGATTGATTGGAAATGTTAGGCAATCGGAGAAGATGGGAGTTATGCCATATCATTTGTTTTCATGCCATACATAATACATTTGAAACTTAGCTGCGCAGTCTGTTGAGAAATGGAACATCTTGAATAAATTTGAATACAAAATTGGCGCTCTGGGTCACTCGGATGCCATTTCCAGCAAATAAGAGCGATGTGCAGATTTCGTTCATTCCAAATTTCGCTCATCCATGTCGGTGTACCAGTTTACTATGAATAGAGCGGTCAATGTTTCGTATTTTGGGGTTTTTTTGGCTACGATTCTCTATTTACTCTAGCACTCAGTAAATTTGATGCATTAATATTAATGCAAATATTGATATCGTATATTGATGCAAATATTGAGAACGAAAATATTGATGCAGAATACACAAAAATTATTTCGCAGAATTATCTTTGGCTACAGTAGCAGATGGGGCCTGATCCTGGTGGAAATACAATAATAACCCGACTTTGTCAGCCCCGTTTTTGAAAATCTTTTCTAATGTTCTACGAAACCCTATTATATTGAATGCGTAAAATCCGAATGCTAACTATTTAAAAAGCCGAGTCTGATAGTTTTTGGCTCACTGATTTAAATCAGTTGAATTGGCCACAGGAGTTTTACGGTATTTGCGTGACTCTTATATATATGTGATAACAGTTTTCTCCATATTGATAGCAAATTAAAATTTGTATATGTAGGGGAAATGAATGTAATGTCGGCCCGAATGCCCCTAATTTGGGCCCGTACATAAATTCAGCAATGGAATAAATTTTCAATTGAGACCAAAAATATCCATTAGTACCGTCACAATGACTCGTTCAGCTAGATAAAACTGATCCATAGGCCAACATTAGAGCCATTTTCCCTATGTTTAAAGCTAGAAAATAAAAAGTGATTCTTTCTGCAAAATTCTCATTTAGCTCACTCATCAGAATGCAATCGTAAAATACTCAGCATGAAAAAAATAATAAGTGAGAAATCAGCCACACTACTACACTCAGAATAATTCATGTTAAGCTCAGCTGTCTGTTTTGCTCAATTCTGCGTTCATCGAAGAAAATAGAAGCAATGCGAATACGAACGAAATCAGTGCGGCTCGCACAAGCTGCTGTTCGTTTCTGATGTTGTATGCGTGTGGGTGAGTATTAAATGCAAAATGAAACGATTTTCCCCATGCTTGGCCACAAGAAAAACTTTTATTAAATTTCAAAAAAATTAAACAAACTTCCATTAACTTCAGCTAAGTCTCGCAAACTAACGTTCCCCATTCTACGAAATTTTCTGAAGCTCTACGAGTTTCTCCAAATTTATATTGAAGTTTCTAAATTCCTGCGATGTCCCCTAAACATCTGCAAAGCCTCTGAAGTTTTAAAAAATTTAATGAAGTTAAAGAAAAATCCTTGAAACTCTTCGAATTTCTACAAAATTTGCTAAATCTCTCTAAAGTTCCATAATTTCCAACAATGTTTGATGAAGATCTACTAATTCTCTGAACGCTCTGAACACACAATTCTTTGAAGCTCTATGAAGTTCACTGAGCTTTTGCAAAGTTTGCGAAGCGTTTACAAAGTTTGCCTAAACTTCTATAAAATGCGGCCACTTCTAGTAAATTTTCAGAAATTCTATAAACTTCAATGAATGTCTACTAAAAAGTATCACGAGTATTATTGAAGATCCATGAAGTTCTTTTAAATTCCACAAAGTTCTCTTTACTTTTAACAAGTTCCCCGAGCTTCTACGAAGTTTTAATAACTTTTACGAATTGCTCTTTGGAACGATCTCGGCGTAGTGGGTCATTCGTGACTTGTCTGGGCGTGCGAGGTATAGATGCTACCTCACATGCACAGACAAGTCACGAATGACCCAAGAGCGTTAAAGTGACTATGATAAGAAAAAAAAAGCCAAGAGCAAGACTTCGTAGAAGGTCTCTGACCTTCTGGGAAGACTCAGTTTTACAAATCTGTAATGTTGAACATCTTCTCCCGCCCAAATCTCGTCGATTTAGGTGAAGATTTTTTCTAAATACACCTGGTATATCTGGGTTGAATAACTTCCACTTCAAGCCGAAGAAACGGGTATAATATTTAGTGAGAATTTTGTTGTGATTCCTCGATTTGATTGATTCTCTTCATCGACTTTCTCTCTTGATAACCACTGCTATGCAAACAGATTTCGTGCTATTTTAACCACATACACACTTATAAAAATTGATGTAAATTTAAGTGCTCTGAGACTGACATATACGAGCGTCAATTTTGACATAAAATTGAGTCATAACAGACGCGAAATTCAGCTCTATCAAACGTACTTTCGAACTTTTCAGTCTCGGAGCACTTAATTTTACATGACATGTTTGTTTACGTCTCATCCTTTATGTCAAAGATGGATTCCGTCACGTGTAATATTAGGTATTTCTAAGTGTGAAGTTTGATAAAGGAGGTTCTAATCTATCGTCCAAAACGTCAAATACAACAGGAAAATGTTTTGCTTCTGAGTTATCAACGAAAGAGGAAATCGATGAAGAGAATCAATCAATGCAGATAGGAGCTTTTGAAATGTTTATCTAGATTTCTTTTTATCTTTTACGCTACCCTTATGGAATGTGAAAGAGCCAAGGGGAGGGGCGCAATACTGAGGGTTCACACCCTGAACAAAAATACTAAGTACTGCTCTGTACGGCTAGGAAGGAATAAATATGAAATATAGTTTTTAATTTTGAAGTAAATTTCTTATACTTTCAAATTTACGCCTGGTGCCCAATTTTTCCCATTGCTAAGTTACAAGTTCGTAAATTATGGTCTAAAAGCCTACACAAAATTCAATAACTTTTTTTCTACAAAAGATACTGTAATATTGTGTATTTTGTCACTATGTTAAACTTACTAGAACATGGCAAAGCCGTAAAATGGAGACCAAAAAGTTGATGAGAAAACCATTTTTTGAGGTACTGTTGGCTATTTATCAATTTTATCGCGTCATTAGGACTAATGAATGCTAATGGATATCTTTGGTCGCTATTGAAAATTTAGTCGATTGCTGAATTTATGTATGGGCCCAAATTAGGGGCATTTAGGCCGACATTACATCCATTTCCCCTAATTTGAAAAATAAAAAAGGTATCAATTAGGCGTCTTTGGCAAAGGCATTTTCTACAACTTTGTCGAAGACACCAACCCAGTATATTCAATAGTTGAAAAATAAATTTTCCAAAGAAGCGTAGTAGCATATTGAAAAACTTCACTGAAGATACCATATCTCTAAATGCCATAATAAAGGAGCTACTAATTAGGCACACGAAAATTACGATTTCAGCCCCTGTGTGGTGCCCTCAATTTTTTTTCGAAAAATTTTTCACACACACGTATTTTATAACTTTTTTTTTCCTTTGATATCTTTTCCGTCGATCTTGTTTTCCGTGCTGAGCACCAATGCGACCGACGCCAGGGAGGCAGTTCCCACACCTGGACCCTACCTATCGACCCATCAACTCATGAACCGGGGACCAACGGCTTCACTATCCTTCCGAAGCTAGGCGTGAACAGAGATGTTAT